TATTTCCTACACTTTCATGGACCTCATTCTATCACTTCAGTAACCAATTATCACTCCCACTATAAATTAATCCAGATGATAACGAATTATGTCAAATTAGGCTATATTATCTCACTGCATCACTTCACGAAAAACAGTTCACAACTATCGAATTAAACCAAACACTAAACAGATTCACTGCTTAAAAAGCTAATAAATTTTCAATTCACCATTATGATCACGCCACTGCACGACCCAATGAAGACACCTTTTCAAATGACGATACTAACGCTAACCCCCAACTAACCGAGAAATTTTTCATCAAATCCTCATATGTATTTACTATCAACTGCATGAATAAAACATAATACCACATTATATCCGCACCACTTCACCACACAAAAACACCCAAAGAACGTGACTTACACTGCTCAGATCAAATTATGTTACTCACTAAACAAACTTATACATACACTTACTATAAATTCATAAAACACCATTACATACACCATCACGAAACCCTCACCATTGATTTCATTTTATTAACTCCAAATACACTTCACCATTCTCCCTAAGCTTCACATATTGTATCAAAGACACTAACATGCAAAGAATCCTTAGAAAATACGACCCTATCAGACAAATGTAGATATTCTGCCCACTAACCCGAACTTTTGGTGTTGATGAATCCTGTCCACTAATTTTCCCTCACGACTATATACAGCCCGTTGAAATCCCAATCCTAGAATACATACATATCACCAAATATAATCATAAGTTCTATAATCTAATTCAAAACACACCGCATGAATTCTCACCAAGTAGTGAAGAGCACAAGATCATTAAAGCACTTGGATTGCTTTGGCCACTACTGCAAACTAAATATATCACCCGCTTACTTGCTAAACTTCTAACAACATCAGACGTCATTCATGATATTTATCCATGTGGATTTTTTGCTGATGATTAAGTAGGTATAATTATGCATTTTTTTACTAATAAACTCAAATCACAAGTAACTGTTCTCTATAAATGTTTCACTTCTTCTTAGATCTCATCACACCATCATCTCAACCAAACGAAAAACAAACAAAAAGTGAAAACTTCTTTCTTAAAACTTCAAAACTCGTATTAACAAACTGCAGTAAAATTGAAAAAGCAGTGAAATTTCTCACAAACAGCAAAAAATAAATAAATGATCCCCAATGCAATAAAAAAATTTTACCAAGCAGTAAATTCGTAGGTTAAAAACTTCTCCGAAAGCAGTAAAATTATACTTCAACGCAGTAAATTCATAAAAACTCGCAGATAAATTCAAATAGGTACTAACCTTCTATAAAATTTGAATCATTCAATTCTTTTATAAAACTCGAATCATTCCCTCGCCCATAAGTTTTTTCCACAATCGCACTAAGAATTGTTTAAAAAATGAATTTTAAGTTTTAATTTTCATTGATAACAACTCTAACCAGTTTTCACACTTTTCAAAATTTCATTTAAACCGGTTCGTAGGAATTATATAAAAAACTACAATAACCAACGCAGCTTACTAAAATCACAAAACCACAAACTTATTGCATGACTAAGAAAGAAAAGCCCGCGGTACCCAAACCAGACTAAAACCAGATTAAAACTGGAAATAATTATTCTTTTGAAGACCACTTTCAAGTCTACCACAAGCAAATAAAACACAAAAAAGTTGAAAGACAAAACCAAACCAAAAGATTCACTTTTTGAGAAAAGGACACAAACAAAACAAAAAAGAGAAAAACAAGTAAGGAAAACAAAACAAAAGGTTGAACACAAAAAGAGACTCTCCACAAAGAAACCTCAAGATTATACCTCACTCCTGGCCTCACCAAACAGAAGGGCGTCCTGAGCATGCTCTATAGCCGTCCTAGCCCACCGCGGTACATCACGCTTTGTGACCCACACTCTTTTTTGCCAAGAGTTGCTCTAGGGTGAGCGATTCTTTAAAAATCACCAAACTAAAATCAAAACGCTTTTGCGATAACTATTAATAACAAATCATAACAAAAACTAAAATTAACCAAGAATTTTATATATGTAAAATATAAATGCAGTATGTATAGATTTCGCAAAGCCCAACAGACGAGAAGCAAAGGAGACGACAACCCAATCACGTTCCAACTTCGGAATGGCAAATCTATTTGATGTGCTGCCTAAAGTCACTACCTCAAAGGATTTAGAGTATGGACTCAACATCGCAGCAAAAGAAAACCATTGAATCAGACCAATGGCCATCTCGATGTTGACTACACGTACAGATCCTAGTTACCAGGCACTTTAAGCGGAAAAGTCAAACTTCACCCTGCACCCAGTCTCGCTCCAAACTTAACGAAATGTATACATCATTTTATTGATCAGAAGTCTTGACACAATCACACAAGACTACCACGATCAACGAGACCCATCTAGAAGATACGAACATAACCATCTTCCTCCGTCAAACTAGAACAGTCACACTTCTCTTTTCTCCAAGAAGTCAATGCTGGCAACTTCAATAACAAACTACATCACCCGTCCTTCACTACATTAATAATTTAGAAACTAAAAACTCTCTAAGCCCCGGATGGGTGGAACCAGTTCTAAACTAGAATTTATAGTTGGTTATAAACATAAGTTTCTAATTCTACAAAATATTCTTAACTAACCAATCATTTTTGATAACTAACCGTTACACTTATTTGTAAGTGCTGAAACTACTTGTAGTTTCAGCACCAGAGCAATTTGAATAAAACTTAGAATACAGTTGTTCTCCTTATGGAAACTAACTCGCATAAACCAGTATATACTAGATCTATTGAAACTAGGAGATAAAAGAGTAAAATTAAGATCGGTATTAGACTATGTAGTTGCACGAATCTATCCGGCCGGAAAAAAATAGTATGAGTACAGTCATCAGCACATAACTCAATTAACTTCAACTCAAAAACTTGCCGTAAAAAAACTACTCATAAATTACTCTGGCTCTCTGTAGTTTTGATGGAGGTGTTTCGTGAGTACTAAATTTTGCTCGAACTTCCAAAAACAACAATTAATGAATCAAATCCGTTGAGATTTTTATGGGTTTTAGTAGATTTCAATCATTTTTTTTCAACAATTATCAATGAGTTGTTTTCTACTGTAAAAGTCCCATTGTATATATTCTAATTCAATTTTCTTATTTTTTTGTAGACTGTATTTCATCTTCAAAAAATTGATCTGAATCAAATTCAATGTCAAATTTGTCAAATCTATGAACCAAAAACTTTGACACAAAATAAAGTATTAAAAGAAAAATTGAAAACTACCAAATCGAAGTGGTAAATTAGCAACCATTGTAGAATTTTTTTTCAATAGAAGGGCAATCAAAGTGCAGGCATTCTGTTGGCGAGGTTGATATGTAAGTACTGGACCTGAAAAAGCCACTGTTATGAATATTAACGCTTGCTAATTGTAAGAATAAAGAAACTACGAGACAATGAATTTTTTCTTGTCTGTACTTTGATTTTGAATGCCCGCACCGAGCGCGCATGGATCATAATCGGTTATATTGTCATAATATGGTCAGCATCTGTTATTTACAAAATAATCGAATATAATCCATTAAAAATGGATTATAATCGTATTATTTCTAATGTCAATATAATCCGTTACATTCAATTATAATTCATTAAAAAAACTGATTATGATCCTTATATTTTTTATGCCAATGTAATCCATTATAATCATTTATATGTTTATAATCGATTATAATGATTTTTTTGAGATGTTATTTTTGAAACCTACAACTTTTTTCCAATTATCTCATTTCCTGTTTAGTGTTGCTATGTACGTTTCATAAAATGTTACATTTCACATTATAATTTTTTTCCTGAATATTCTGACTGAATTTTACATCTCTAAAGGATTATAAATCGTCTCGAGAATCCATTTTATTCAATTAGATTCCATGGGCGCTCGGTGCGGATAAATTTACTCAGTAGCGCAATTATGGGGGGGGGGGGGGGGGGGTGGGGGCGGTTCGGAGAGCGGGCGCTTTCTTTTTTTCAGGGATTCGACCCCCTGCCGACCCAAAGTGTCCCCCTTGTACTAAAATGGACTCTTTGACGCCAATATATGCTAATTTTAAGGGGGGAGCGCGCGCCAAATTTCGCTATTTTTTAATCAAAATTTTCCAAAAAGTGCCTCAATGCGCCTTTTTTTTTGGTCAAAACAATTTGATATGCACATCAAAACTGTTGAAAAAACGGTACCTAATTTTAACACATGGGCATGGCGCCTGCCAGCAACGCGTATTTTTACGACGACTTTTTGCCACTTCAGTCCTTCTATTTATTTTCGGACAACGTCGGCAGGTTTACTGAAATCTAAGGCACAAAAAGTGAACTCGTACAGCAAGTTTTGTAGAGTATCATAGTTTTCAGTTCCTCACTTGACTGCAACGTCAGGACAACAGAAGAAGACTCTTTTTACAATGTTGCACGAAGTCTTTTGAAAACCTCTTTACAGTGACGTACGCAGAAATTTTTTGTAAGGGAGGGAAGGGGACTTTTTTCGGGTCAACTAATTTGATTTTCAGAGCTGCCCGAAAATACTCAAAGGATCCTATTTTGTCAAAAAAATTTCTGCGCCTTAGGCAAAGTTTTTACAAAACAGACCAAAAACGGCGTTTCTGGGCATTTTTTGGAAAGTTTTGAAAAAAGTGCGTTTGAAGACACGTGCCCCGGCTTTTTTCAACCTACAGGCCAATTAAATGTAACTAAAATAAACGCACCGTTTTGAAATGTTGCTCGATATTTGCCCACATGTCTCATAAATTTACTCAAATTAAGTGCGTTTACGTCGATGAAAACAAAAAGTCGTCGCAGTCTCATAAACAAGAATTGGGGAACGGGGGCGATATATGATTACAAAGCTTCTCCCGTTGGCTGAATATTTCTTTCAACAGCCACAAACTGTTTGCATGGGACAGGAAACGAAGATAAAAATAATGGAAAAATGCCTGAAACCATCTCTTGTTAGCAAGCATGCTGCATCAGAGGAAACCGAGATAAAACATTAGAAATAAGCAAAAAGCTGCTCTGTTGACAAATTACAACAAAAACTGAAGATAAAAAGGAAAATTATAAACGCCTTAGGCACTATTTTTAAGGCTTGATTCATCGAGCAAAATACTTCAGGAAAAAAAATAGTAAGTTTTCTTGTTTTATGCTAGTGCCATGTTATTATCATTTTTATCAATAACCGAGAAGGTTTGTTAAACAGATGCAAGTTTTTTTCTTCATTATTTTCATACTGACAAAAACAGGTACGACTTTCAGTTTCATCCTAGAAAAACCCTTATAACGTAAGCAAAAAAAACAGAGCGTCACGTCGTTTAGGGTAGACATTTAGCTTTTTCTCGGTTAGTTTTCCTACGGTTATTTTTTGGGTCGCGCCGGTCGCGAATAATTTTACTTCAGTCGCGATTATTTTTTTCTTCGATCGCGCTGGTCGGGATTAACTTTACTTCGGTTGCGGTTAGCGTTCCTTCGTTATCACTGGTTGCAGTTAACTCTCCTTCGATCGCTGCAGTCGCGACTAACTTGCCTTGGTTCGCCCCAGTCGCTATTAACTTTCCTTCGCCCACGCCGGTCGCAATTAACTTTCCAGGTTGACAAAAACTGCTAATCATACAATTTTCAATAAGACTTTTCATGCAATTCAATAAGTACAAAAATTGCATAAAAGGATTATGAGTAGTCTTTTTTCGTATATGGAAATCCTATGACTAGCATTTTTCTATCAACCAAAAGTTTTTCTAGTTAGATTTTTTCTTTTAGTTTTTAGTTGTGATAGTAACAAGTGAAAAAGACACTGGTGACTCCAAGCTAGAGTCACCAAAATTTTTCACGGTCTTGCATGTGAAGTCCATTGGAAACATCCTGAGCAAACTTCAAATATTTGATTCAATTTTTCCAAGAAGCTTAATTCTAAAATCAAATTTTAATGTATCATGCATTGCCAAAGACACAAACATATGCAATACAAACAGAAAAATTTGTTAAACGTTTTCAAAAAAATTGCCCAATGAAACAAAAAAATAACCTGTTTTGGTGTACCCAGAACCACGTTATGCCCACAAAAAACTCCTCGAACAAGTTTTTGTGTACAAAATTCGTTTCGCGTTTGAAATAAAATGGGTGCAATTTTAAATTTCTTTAATAAAAATGTCGAATTCGCCATCAAAAAAAACTAGTCACACAATTTACATCTATGTTTTTATGAATAAACAATTTTTTGCCTTAACAAGAAAACAATTCTTTCCTAATTCGATTGCGCCATTTCAGCAAAACGTGTGAATTTTTTTGATTAGCTTTTTTTCATATACTTTGTTTATAGAATTGTAGTATTTTCTGACTGTGAAAGTGAACCCGGGTTGACTTCAATCGCTCCGATCGTGGTTAACATTCCTTTGGCCGCGCCGGTTGCGGTAAATTTTCCCGCTGATGCTGATAAACTTCGGTGCTGATAAACTTTACTTAGGTCACGATTAAATTTACTTTGGTCGAGAACATTTTTACTCCGGTCGTGACCCGCAATGAGTGCCCATGGATTCTAATCGATTATAACGGATTCCCAAGACAAAAATAATCCATTATAAATCATTCCAGATATAAAATTCAGACCACGAAATCGATTATATTGCCATTATAATCGATTATTTTGAAAAAAAAAAATCCATTATAATCCATTATAATCGATTATAATCCATTATTTTTGTCACTGAAATCGATAATTTTGCCAAGATAATCCATTATAAGTGATTATTTTTGAAATAAAAATCCATTATAATCCATTATAATTGATTATCATCCATTTCATTTTTGGATTTTATTTCGATTATTTTTGCAAAATTTTGTAAATTTTGTGAGAAGTTTGCAAAATAATGTATGCTATGTCTTTTTCTAAATGCCATTTCTCAACGTCATCCCCTCAGCCCCTCAAGCATTTTCAAGTCCCCCAACTAAAAGGATGGGGTAAATGGGGGAGGGGGGAGTAACCTGGAGAGGGGTGTAGTTTGGTGAGGGTGTAGGGGGGGGGGGGCGTTGTAAACGGAGGGGGGGAGGGGGTAAACTGGGGAGGGTAAACTGATGGGGGGGGGGTTTGGATGGGTGGTAAACCTGGGAGGGGTAAAACTGGGGGGAGGGGGGAAACTGGGAGGGAAACGAGGGGGGGGGGGGGTGGGGTAAACCGTACGTGTATTCAAACCGCGGCAAACGGTACCCGAGTCAAGATTTTTCAACTAATTTGAAACAAGATTTGAGCGGTTTGAGCGGTTTTTTTTAGTCAATTACGCTCAAAATTTTGCTTCAAAATGAGCGGTTTAAGCGGTTTTTGAACGGTTTGTCTAAAAGAACCGCTCAAAAACCGCGCAAGATTTGAACGGTTTTGAGCGGTTTATTTTAAAAAACCGCTCAAAAACCGTACAAATCTTGCGCGGTTTTTGAGCGTTTTTTTTTTAGATAAACCGCTCAAAACCGTTCAACTCTTGCGCGGTTTTTGAAAGTTTTTTTTTTAGATAAACCGGTCGAAAACCGCTCAAACCGCCCAATTAGAAGCAAGATTTTGAGCGTAATTGTCTAAAATAACCGCTCAAACTGCTCAAATCTTGAGCGGTTTTTTGAGCGTTTTTTTATAAATCGCTCAAACACCGCTCAAACCGCTCATTTTGAAGCAAGATTTTTTGCGCAATCGTCTAAAAAAACAGCTCAAACCGCTCAAATCTTGCTTCAAAAGAGGCGAACAACCTCAAATTGGGATCCTCAAAATTAGGAACTCAAATTGGGACACATACATACATACACTTACTTACATATTCTCCATTGGTTATTTTGCTCGAGCATTTGAAAAAAGTCGCTAACAGTGTTTTTGGTCAAGACATCGAAAAAAAATCTTGCTTGAGTTGAGAACGGTTAAGCACTTTTTTAAATTGTAGATACTATTTCCACTGCATCTTAGTGTCACATTACCTTTCCAGGCATTTTTGTTGGTTTTATTCGGTTCTCTTTATAAGACCGCTCAAAAACCTCTTAAAAACCGCTCAAATCTTGCTTGAAAAACCGTTCAAAAATCACTGCAAAAAATGAGCGGTTTTTTAGGCAAGATTTGAGCGGTTTGAGCGGTTTTTGCCAAAAAACCGCCCAATTCGCCCAAAACAGCTCAAATCTTGCTATAAAACCGCTCAAACCGCTCATATCTTGAGCGGTTTTTGAGCGGGATCTCGACCCGGGTAACATCATCACGACACCTAAACAGCCAAATACTGAGGTGTCTCCCTTGGACAATTAAAATCGAAACTTAACTTTTTACCCTATTTGCAGCTGATACCTGTAGCGATATCACTTAAAACCCAATGTAGTATAAAAGCATCCACGAGCAAGACTCACATCGAAATATTGCTCCGATGTTTGAAAAAAGTACGGTATTATCAAGCTTGGGTGGCTTTTTTGTTCAATCGATTTTTGTTCAAAGAAAAAATAGAGCGAAATGTTATTGGAGACAGATTTTTTTGTGTTACGCGCTGTTCTTGCTGTGTTTATGGTTCTTTTTTGAGTCGCGCCGTTTGAGGATAACTTCCCGTATCCAAGTTAGGCGTAAGTAATCGATTATAACGTATTGTTATGATGATTCTTTGACAATTATAATTGATTATATTTACCAAAATCAGGTGCTTAAAGGATTTATAATTGATTATAATCGTGATATTTTCCAAGAGATTATAATTTCTTATAATCGATTATAATTGATCATAATATTTTATTTTGAATTATATCTTATGGGTTAATGATTTTGTGTCAATAAGAAAATCTCTAAAAGAGAGATCTCTTGAACAGTTTGGTTCATTTGAATTATATGTTATGGGTTATTGATTTTGAGCGATAAGGAAATCTCTAAAGGAGAAATCTCTTGAACATTTTGATTTATCTGAACACAAAGTTTCACTACGAAACAAAAGTTCATAGATATCCTTTCATATTAGCTGAAAAGTTCCCGCGGTAGACGAAAACTAAATTTTCCACATCAATCATGAAGCTGAACCAATTTGCTGATGTTTTGGTGGTTGAAAAAGCTTAAAATATGCATCACAAAACAAATATAATAGGGAAAAAATGAAAAAAAAAAAACGTTATAATTTTGAAGTGATTGGAAAATTTCAAAAACATTTTTCTCAAGCTCAAAAGTTTAGCACTTTAGATACAACTTCGAAGACAAAAAGGACAAACGAAAGGGATTATAATCAATTGTAATCGAATATAAAGGATTTTTGTCCAAAACTAATGAATTAGAAATTTGAATAAAAACAAAGAATTTTAATCAATTATAATTGATTTTAAGTGTATCGAAAATTAGACAAAAAATAATCGATTATAGTCGATTACAATCGATCATAATCAATTATGATGGATTCTAATGGACTATTATTATTTATGATCTGATTTTAAAAAGAGAGATTGTAAGCGATTATAATTTGATTAAAATCGATTGTCATTAGGAGGCCAAACTGTGCATAATCTGCATTGTAAGCGGAATCCGCAACAGGCCGAGAGCAGATTTGTTGCAGAATCTGCAACATTGCTACGTTTTTTAATCTTCTATGCTGCTTTGGAATCCACAAACAAATACCTAAAACCTTGTACCGCTCAAAATTGCTCCAATTTAAGGCAAACTTTCGGAATCCGAAACTGTTTTTGCGGAATCCAGAACAGTATGTGGAATCAACAAACAAATGATAAGACGCTTATATCGTTAAATTGAGCTGTTGCGGTATCGACAACTGCAATTGGAATCCGCAAATTGTGAGTGGAATCCGCATTTTGTTTGCGGTTTCCTTTCACTTATATGTTTATATGTGATAACGTTATATTTTATGTCTTTTATTTACTAGGTGGTCACCAGCAAGTTCAATATCAGCTACATTGATCAGCTACCAGTTGAAATTACTGTCAGACTCAATTCCTGCCTTAACTTCGATCTCAATCTCTGTCACTAAGTTCGATCTCAATTCCTGTAGCCCAACTTCGATCTCAATTCCTTTAACCCAACTTCGATCGCAATTCCTGTAACCCAACTTCAGTCCCAATTCATGTCAACCCAAATTTGATCTCAACTCCTGACATCAATCTCAATTCCCGCAAAAGTGAACAAATT